GTCCACGTCCATGTCCACGTCCATGTCCACGTCCATGTCCACGTCCATGTCCACGTCCATGTCCACGTCCATGTCCACGTCCACGTCCACGTCCATGTCCATGTCCATGTCCATGTCCATGTCCACGTCCACGTCCACGTCCACGTCCATGTCCACATCCACGTCCACGTCCACGTCCATGTCCACGTCCACGTCCACGTCCATGTCCACGTCCACGTCCACGTCCATGTCCACGTCCATGTCCACGTCCATGTCCACGTCCATGTCCACGTCCATGTCCACGTCCATGTCCACGTCCATGTCCACGTCCATGTCCACGTCCATGTGCACGTTCATGTCCACGTCCATGTCCACTTCCATGTCCACGTCCATCTCCACGTCCACGTCCACGTCCTTGCCATGTCCACGTCCATGTCCATGTCCACGTCCATGTCCATGTCCATGTCCACGTCCATGTCCACGTCCATCTCCACGTCCATCTCCACGTCCACGTCCACGTCCATGTCCACGTCCACGTCCACGTCCATGTCCATGTCCATGTCCCCGTCCATGTCCACGTCCATGTCCACGTCCATGTCCACGTCCACAACCATGTCCACGTCCACGACCACGACTACGACCACCTCTATGTCCACGTCCACGTCCACGTCCATGTCCACGTCCATGTCCATGTCCATGTCCATGTCCACGTCCATGTCCACGTCCATGTCCACGTCCACGTCCATGTCCACGTCCACGTCCACGTCCAAGTCCACGTCCACGTCCATGTCCATGTCCATGTCCACGTCCACGTCCATGTCCACGTCCACGTCCACGTCCACGTCCACGTCCATGTCCACGTCCACGTCCATGTCCACGTCTATGTCCACGTCCATGTCCACGTCCATGTCCACGTCCATGTCCACGTCGATGTCTACGTCCATGTCCACGTCCATGTCCACGTCCATGTCCACGTCCATGTCCACGTCCATTTCCACGTCCATATCCACGTCCATGTCCACATCCATGTCCACGTCCATGTCCACGTTCATGTCCACGTCCATGTCCACGTCCATGTCCACGTCCATGTCCACGTCCATCTCCACGTCCATCTCCACGTCCACGTCCACGTCCACGTCCACGTCCACGTCCACGTCCACGTCCACATCCATGTCTACGTCCATGTCCACGTCCATGTCCACGTCCATGTCCACGTCCATGTCCACCTCCATGTCCACGTTCACGTCCACGTCCACGTCCATGTCCACGAAAATGTCCATGTTTATGTCCACGTCCACGTCCACGTCCATGTCCATGTCCACGTCCACGTCCATGTCCACGTCCACGACCATGTCCACGTCCACGTCCACGTCCATGTCCACGTCCATGTCCACGTCCACGTCCACGTCCATGTCCATGTCCACGTCCACGTCCACGTCCATGTCCACGTCCACGTCCACGTCCATGTCCACATCCACGTCCACGTCCACGTCCATGTCCACGTCCACGTCCACGTCCATGTCCACGTCCATGTCCACGTCCACGTCCACTTCCACGTCCACGTCCATGTCCACGTCCATGTCCACGTCCATGTCCACGTCCATGTCCACGTCCATGTCCACGTCCATGTCCACGTCCATGTCCACGTCCATGTCCACGTCCATGTCCACGTCCATGTCCACGTCCATATCCACGTCCACGTCCACGTCCACGTCCATGTCAACGTCCATGTCCACGTCCATGTCCACGTCCATGTCCACGTCCATGCCCACGTCCATGTCCACGTCCACGTCCACGTCCACGTCCATGTCCACGTCCATGTCCACGTCCATGTCCACGTCCATGTCCACCTCCATGTCCACGTTCACGTCCACGTCCACGTCCATGTCCACGAAAATGTCCACGTCCATGTCCACGTCCACATCCACGTCCATGTCCATGTCCATGTCCACGTCCATATCCACGTCCACGTCCACGTCCATGTCCACGTCCACGTCCATGTCCACGTCCATGTCCACATCCACGTCCACGTCCACGTCCATGTCCACGTCCACGTCCACGTCCATGTCCACGTCCATGTCCACGTCCATGTCCACGTCCATGTCCACGTCCATGTCCACGTCCACGTCCACGTCCACGTCCACGTCCACGTCCATGTCCACGTCCATGTCCACGTCCATGTCCACGTCCACGTCCACGTCCACGTCCACGTCCACGTCCATGTCCACGTCCATGTCCACGTCCATGTCCACGTCCATGTCCACGTCCATGTCCACGTCCATGTCCACGTCCATGTCCACGTCCATGTCCACGTCCATGTCCACGTCCACGTCCATGTCCACGTCCACGTCCACGTCCACGTCCATGTCCACGTCCACGTCCACGTCCACGTCCATGTCCACGTCCACGTCCACGTCCACGTCCACGTCCATGTCCACGTCCATGTCGACGTCCATGTCCACGTCCATGTCCACGTCCACGTCCACGTCCATGTCCACGTCCACGTCCACGTCCATGTCCACGTCCATGTCCACGTCCACGTCCATGTCCACGTCCACGTCCATGTCCACGTCCACGGTCCACGTCCATGTCCACGTCCATGTCCACGTCCACGTCCACGTCCATGTCCATGTCCACGTCCACGTCCACGTCCATGTCCACGTCCACGTCCACGTCCATGTCCACATCCACGTCCACGTCCACGTCCATGTCCACGTCCATGTCCATGTCCATGTCCATGTCCATGTCCATGTCCACGTCCATGTCCACGTCCATCTCCACGTCCATCTCCACGTCCACGTCCACGTCCATGTCCACGTCCACGTCCACGTCCATGTCCACGTCCATGTCCACGTCCATGTCCACGTCCATGTCCACGTCCACAACCATGTCCACGTCCACGACCACGACCACGACCACCTCTATGTCCACGTCCACGTCCACGTCCACGTCCATGTCCACGTCCATGTCCATGTCCACGTCCATGTCCACGTCCATGTCCACGTCCATGTCCACGTCCACGTCCATGTCCACGTCCACGTCCACGTCCATGTCCACGTCCACGTCCACGTCCATGTCCATGTCCATGTCCACGTCCACATCCATGTCCACGTCCACGTCCACGTCCACGTCCACGTCCATGTCCACGTCCATGTCCACGTCCATGTCCACGTCCATGTCCACGTCCATGTCCACGTCCATGTCCACGCCCATGTCCACGTCCATGTCCACGTCCATGTCCACGTCCATGTCCACGTCCATGTCCACGTCCATGTCCACGTCCATGTCCACGTCCATGTCCACGTCCATGTCCACGTCCACGTCCACGTCCATGTCCACGTCCACGACCATGTCCACGTCCATGTCCACGTCCACGACCATGTCCACGTCCACGACCACGACCACCGCTATGTCCACGTCCACGTCCACGTCCATGTCTACGTCTATGTCCATGTCCACGTCCATGTCTACGTCCATGTCCACGTCCATGTCCACGTCCACGTCCATGTCCACGTCCACGTCCACGTCCACGTCCATGTCCACGTCCATGTCGACGTCCACGACCACGACCACCGCTATGTCCACGTCCACGTCCACGTCCATGTCTACGTCCATGTCCATGTCCATGTCCACGTCTACGTCCATGTCCACGTCCACGTCCATGTCCACGTCCATGTCCACGTCCATGTCCACGTCCATGTCCACCTCCATGTCCACGTTCACGTCCACGTCCACGTCCACGTTCACGTCCATGTCCACGTCCATGTCCACGTCCACGTCCACGTCCATGTCCACGTCCACGTCTACGTCCATGTCCACGTCCATGTCCACGTCCATGTCCACGTCCATGTCCACGTCCATGTCCACGTCTATGTCCACGTCCATGTCCACGTTCATGTCCACGTCCATGTCCACGTCCATGTCCACGTCCATGTCCACGTCCATGTCCACGTCCATGTCCACGTCCATGTCCACGTCCATGTCCACGTCCACGTCCACGTCCATGTCCATGTCCATGTCCATGTCCATGTCCACGTCCACGTCCACGTCCACGTCCATGTCCACATCCACGTCCACGTCCACGTCCATGTCCACGTCCACGTCCACGTCCATGTCCACGTCCACGTCCACGTCCATGTCCACGTCCATGTCCACGTCCATGTCCACGTCCATGTCCACGTCCATGTCCACGTCCATGTCCACGTCCATGTCCACGTCCATGTCCACGTCCATGTCCATGTCCATGTCCACGTCCATATCCACGTCTATGTCCACGTCCACGTCCATGTCAACGTCCATATCCACGTCCATGTCCACGTCCATGTCCACGTCCATGCCCACGTCCATGTCCACGTCCACGTCCACGTCCACGTCCACGTCCACGTCCATGTCCATGTCCATGCCCACGTCCATGTCCACGTCCCCGTCCTCGTCCACGTCCATGTCCACGTCCATGTCCACGTCCATGTCCACGTTCACGTCCACGTCCACGTCCATGTCCACGACCATATCCACGTCCATGTCCACGTCCACGACCATGTCCACGTCCATGTCCACGTCCACGACCATGTCCACGTCCACGACCACGACCACTTCTATGTCCACGTCCACGTCCACATCCATGTCCACGTCTATGTCCATGTCCACGTCCATGTCTACGTCCATGTCCACGTCCATGTCCACGTCCACGTCCACGTCCACGTCCACGTCCATGTCCACGTCCATGTCCACGTCCATGTCCACGTCCATGTCCACGTCCATGTCCACGTCCATGTCCACGTCCATGTCCACGTCCATGTCAACGTTCATAACCACGTCCATGTCCACGTCCATGTCCACGTCCATGTCCACGTTCATGTCCACGGTCCATGTCCACGTCCATGTCCACGTCCATGTCCACGTCCATGTGCACGTCCATGTCCACGTCCATGTCCACGTCCATGTCCACGTCCATGTCCACGTCCATGTCCATGTCCACGTCCACGTCCACGTCCACGACCATGTCAACGTCCATGTCCACGTCAATGTCCACGTCCATGCCCACGTCCATGTCCGTCCACGTCCATGTCCACGTCCATGTCCACGTCCATGTCCACGTCCATGTCCACGTCCATGTCCACGTCCATGTCCACGTCCATGTCCACGTCCATGTCCACGTCCATGTCCACGTCCATGTCCACGTCCATGTCCACGTCCATGTCCACGTCCATGTCCACCTCCATGTCCACGTCCACGTCCACGTCCACGTCCACGTCCAGGTCCATGTCCACGTCCACGTCCATGTCCACGTCCACGTCCACGTCCACGTCCACGTCCATGTCCACATCCACGTCCACGTCCACGTCCATGTCCACGTCCACGTCCACATCCACGTCCATGTCCACCTCCATGTCCACATTCACGTCCACGTCCACGTCCATGTCCACGTCCACGTCCACGTCCATGTCCACGTCCACCTCCATGTCCACAGTCGACGTCCATGTTCATGTCCACGTCCATGTCCACGTCCATGTCCACGTTCACGTCCACGTCCACGTCCATGTCCACGACCATATCCACGTCCATGTCCACGTCCACGACCATGTCCACGTCCATGTCCACGTCCACGACCATGTCCACGTCCACGACCACGACCACCTCTATGTCCACGTCCACGTCCATGTCCACGTCCATGTCCATGTCCACGTCCATGTCTACGTCCATGTCCACGTCCATGTCCACGTCCATGTCCACGTCCACGTCCATGTCCACGTCCACGTCCACGTCCATGTCCATGTCCACGTCCATGTCCACGTCCACGTCCATGTCCACGTCCACGTCCACGTCCACTTCCACGTCCACGTCCATGTCCACGTCCATGTCCTTGTCCATGTCCACGTCAATGTCCACGTCCATGTCCACGTCCATGTCCACGTCCATGTCCACGTCCATGTCCACGTCCATGTCCACGTCCATGTCCACGTCCATGTCCACGTCCATGTCCACGTCCACGTCCACGTCCACGTCCACGTCCACGTCCATGTCAACGTCCATGTCCACGTCCATGTCCACGTCCATGCTTACGTCCATGTCCACGTCCACGTCCACGTCCACGTCCATGTCCACGTCCATGTCTACGTCCATGTCCACGTCCATGTCCACCTCCATGTCCACGTTCACGTCCACGTCCCGTCCACGTCCATGCCACGACCATGTCCACGTCCATGTCCACGTCCACATCCACGTCCATGTCCATGTCCATGTCCACGTCCACATCCACGTTCACGTCCACGTCCACGTCCACGTCCATGTCCACGTCCATGTCCATGTCCACGTCCATGTCCACGGTCCATGTCCACGTCCATGTCCACGTCCATGTCCACGTTCATGTCCACGTCCATGTCCACGTCCATGTCCACGTCCACGTCCACGTCCATGTCCACGTCCACGACCATGTCCACGTCCATGTCCACGTCCACGACCATGTCCACGTCCACGACCACGACCACCGCTATGTCCACGTCCACGTCCACGTCCATGTCTACGTCTATGTCCATGTCCACGTCCATGTCTACGTCCATGTCCACGTCCATGTCCCGTCCACTGTCCATGTCCACGTCCACGTCCCACGATCCACGTCCATAGTCCACGTCCATGTCGACGTCCACGACCACGACCACCGCTATGTCCACGTCCACGTCCACGTCCATGTCTACGTCCATGTCCATGTCCATGTCCACGTCTACGTCCATGTCCACGTCCACGTCCATGTCCACGTCCATGTCCACGTCCATGTCCACGTCCATGTCCACCTCCATGTCCACGTTCACGTCCACGTCCACGTCCACGTTCACGTCCATGTCCACGTCCATGTCCACGTCCACGTTCCACGTCCATGTCCACGTCCACGTCTACGTCCATGTCCACGTCCATGTCCACGTCCATGTCCACGTCCATGTCCACGTCCATGTCCACGTCTATGTCCAACGTCCCATGTCCACGTTCATGTCCACGCGCATGTCCACGTCCATGTCCACGTCCATGTCCACGTCCATTCGTCCACGTCACTCCATGGTGCCACGTCCATGTCCACGTCCTGTCCACGTCCACGTCCCGTCCATGTCCATGTCCATGTCCATGTCCATGTCCACGTCCACGTCCACGTCCACGTCCATGTCCACATCCACGTCCACGTCCACGTCCATGTCCACGTCCACGTCCACGTCCATGTCCACGTCCACGTCCACGTCCATGTCCACGTCCATGTCCACGTCCCATGTCCACGTCCATGTCCACGTCCATGTCCACGTCCATGTCCACGTCCATGTCCACGTCCATGTCCACGTCCATGTGCACGTTCATGTCCACGTCCATGTCCACTTCCATGTCCACGTCCATCTCCACGTCCACGTCCACGTCCTTGCCATGTCCACGTCCATGTCCATGTCCACGTCCATGTCCATGGTCCATGTCCACGTCCATGTCCACGTCCATCTCCACGTCCATCTCCACGTCCACGTCCAACGTCCATGTCCACGTCCACGTCCACGTCCATGTCCATGTCCATGTCCCCGTCCATGTCCACGTCCAGGTCCACGTCCATGTCCAACTCCGTCACACCAAACCATGTCCACGTCCACGACCACGACTACGACACCCTCTATGTCCACGTCCACGTCCACGTCCATGTCCACAGTCCATGTCCATGTCCATGTCCATGTCCACGTCCATGTCCACGTCCATGTCCACGTCCACGTCCATGTCCACGTCCACGTCCACGTCAAGTCCACGTCCACGTTCCATGTCCATGTCCATGTCCACGTCCACGTCCATGTCCACGTCCACGTCCACGTCCACGTCCACGTCCATGTCCACGTCCCACGTCCATGTCCACGTCTATGTCCACGTCCATGTCCACGTCCATGTCCACGTCCATGTCCACGTCGATGTCTACGTCCATGTCCACGTCCATGTCCACGTCCATGTCCACGTCCATGTCCACGTCCATTTCCACGTCCATATCCACGTCCATGTCCACATCATGTCCACTCATGTCCTTCATGTCCACAGTCATGTCCACTCCATGTCCACGTCCATGTCCACGTCCCATGTCCACCGACCATCTCCACGTCCATCTCCACGTCCACGTCCACGTCCACGTCCACGTCCACGTCCACGTCCACGTCCACATCCATGTCTACGTCCATGTCCACGTCCATGTCCACGTCCATGTCCCACGTCCATGTCCACCTCCATGTCACGTTCACGTCCACGTCCACGTCCATGTCCACGAAAATGTCCATGTTTATGTCCACGTCCACGTCCACGTCCATGTCCATGTCCACCGTCAACGTCCATGTCCACGTCCACGACATGTCCACGTCCCACGTCCCACGTCCATGTCCACGTCCATGTCCACGTCCACGTCCACGTCCATGTCCATGTCCACGTCCACGTCCACGTCCATGTCCACGTCCCGTCCACGTCCATGTCCACATCCACGTCCACGTCCACGTCCAGTGTCCACTCCACCGTTCCACGTCCATGTCCACGTCCATGTCCACGTCCACGTCCACTTCCACGTCCACAGTCCATGTCCACGTCCATTTCCACGTCCATGTCCACGTCCATGTCCACGTCCATGTCCACGTCCATGTGTCCACGTCCATGTCCACGTCCATGTCCACGTCCATGTCCACGTCCATGTCCACGTCCATGTCCACGTCCATGTCCACGTCCATGTCCACGTCCATGTCCACGTCCATGTCCACGTCCATGTCCACGTCCACGTCCACGTCCACGTCCATGTCAACGTCCATGTCCACGTCCATGTCCACGTCCATGTCCACGTCCATGTCCACGTCCATGTCCACGTCCACGTCCACGTCCACGTCCATGTCCACGTCCATGTCCACGTCCATGTCCACGTCCATGTCCACGTCCATGTCCACGTTCACGTCCACGTCCACGTCCATGTCCACGTCCATGTCCACGTCCATGTCCACGTCCACATCCACGTCCATGTCCATGTCCATGTCCACGTCCATGTCCACGTCCACGTCCACGTCCATGTCCACGTCCACGTCCATGTCCACGTCCATGTCCACGTCCACGTCCACGTCCACGTCCATGTCCACGTCCACGTCCACGTCCATGTCCACGTCCATGTCCACGTCCATGTCCACGTCCATGTCCACGTCCATGTCCACGTCCACGTCCACGTCCACGTCCACGTCCACGTCCATGTCCACGTCCATGTCCACGTCCATGTCCACGTCCACGTCCACGTCCACGTCCACGTCCACGTCCATGTCCACGTCCATGTCCACGTCCATGTCCACGTCCATGTCCACGTCCATGTCCACGTCCATGTCCACGTCCATGTCCACGTCCATGTCCACGTCCATGTCCACGTCCACGTCCATGTCCACGTCCACGTCCACGTCCACGTCCATGTCCACGTCCACGTCCACGTCCACGTCCATGTCCACGTCCACGTCCACGTCCACGTCCACGTCCATGTCCACGTCCATGTCCACGTCCATGTCCACGTCCATGTCCACGTCCACGTCCACGTCCATGTCCACGTCCACGTCCACGTCCATGTCCACGTCCATGTCCACGTCCACGTCCATGTCCACGTCCACGTCCATGTCCACGTCCACGTCCACCACGTCCATGTCCACGTCCATGTCCACGTCCACGTCCACGTCCATGTCCATGTCCACGTCCACGTCCACGTCCATGTCCACGTCCACGTCCACGTCCATGTCCACATCCACGTCCACGTCCACGTCCATGTCCACGTCCATGTCCATGTCCATGTCCATGTCCATGTCCATGTCCACGTCCATGTCCACGTCCATCTCCACGTCCATGTCCACGTCCACGTCCACGTCCATGTCCACGTCCACGTCCACGTCCATGTCCACGTCCATGTCCACGTCCATGTCCACGTCCATGTCCACGTCCACGTCCATGTCCACGTCCACGTCCACGTCCACGTCCACGTCCATGTCCACGTCCACGTCCACGTCCACGTCCATGTCCACGTCCATGTCCATGTCCACGTCCATGTCCACGTCCATGTCCACGTCCATGTCCACGTCCACGTCCATGTCCACGTCCACGTCCACGTCCATGTCCACGTCCACGTCCACGTCCATGTCCATGTCCATGTCCACGTCCACGTCCATGTCCACGTCCACGTCCACGTCCACGTCCACGTCCATGTCCACGTCCATGTCCACGTCCATGTCCACGTCCATGTCCACGTCCATGTCCACGTCCATGTCCACGTCCATGTCCACGTCCATGTCCACGTCCATGTCCACGTCCATGTCCACGTCCATGTCCACGTCCATGTCCACGTCCATGTCCACGTCCATGTCCACGTCCATGTCCACGTCCACGTCCACGTCCATGTCCACGTCCACGTCCACCATGTCCACGTCCATGTCCACGTCCACGACCATCCATGTCCACGTCCACGTCCACGACCACCGCTATGTCCACGTCCACGTCCACGTCCATGTCCACGTCCATGTCCATGTCCACGTCCATGTCCACGTCCATGTCCACGTCCATGTCCACGTCCACGTCCATGTCCACGTCCACGTCCACGTCCACGTCCATGTCCACGTCCATGTCCACGTCCACGTCCACGTCCACCGCCATGTCCACGTCCACGTCCACGTCCATGTCCACGTCCATGTCCATGTCCATGTCCACGTCCACGTCCATGTCCACGTCCACGTCCATGTCCACGTCCATGTCCACGTCCATGTCCACGTCCATGTCCACGTCCATGTCCACGTTCACGTCCACGTCCACGTCCACGTTCACGTCCATGTCCACGTCCATGTCCACGTCCACGTCCACGTCCATGTCCACGTCCACGTCCACGTCCATGTCCACGTCCATGTCCACGTCCATGTCCACGTCCATGTCCACGTCCATGTCCACGTCCATGTCCACGTCCATGTCCACGTCCATGTCCACGTCCATGTCCACGTCCATGTCCACGTCCATGTCCACGTCCATGTCCACGTCCATGTCCACGTCCATGTCCACGTCCATGTCCACGTCCACGTCCACGTCCATGTCCATGTCCATGTCCATGTCCATGTCCACGTCCACGTCCACGTCCACGTCCATGTCCACGTCCACGTCCACGTCCACGTCCATGTCCACGTCCACGTCCACGTCCATGTCCACGTCCACGTCCACGTCCATGTCCACGTCCATGTCCACGTCCATGTCCACGTCCATGTCCACGTCCATGTCCACGTCCATGTCCACGTCCATGTCCACGTCCATGTCCACGTCCATGTCCACGTCCATGTCCACGTCCATGTCCACGTCCATGTCCACGTCCACGTCCACGTCCTTGCCATGTCCACGTCCATGTCCATGTCCACGTCCATGTCCACGTCCATGTCCACGTCCATGTCCACGTCCATGTCCACGTCCATGTCCACGTCCACGTCCACGTCCATGTCCACGTCCACGTCCACGTCCATGTCCATGTCCATGTCCACGTCCATGTCCACGTCCATGTCCACGTCCATGTCCACGTCCACAACCATGTCCACGTCCACGTCCACGTCCACGTCCACGTCCATGTCCACGTCCACGTCCACGTCCATGTCCACGTCCATGTCCATGTCCATGTCCATGTCCACGTCCATGTCCACGTCCATGTCCACGTCCATGTCCACGTCCATGTCCACGTCCATGTCCACGTCCATGTCCACGTCCATGTCCACGTCCATGTCCACGTCCATGTCCACGTCCACGTCCACGTCCATGTCCACGTCCACGTCCATGTCCACGTCCATGTCCACGTCCACGTCCATGTCCACGTCCACGTCCACGTCCACCGCCATGTCCACGTCCACGTCCACGTCCATGTCCACGTCCATGTCCATGTCCACGTCCATGTCCACGTCCATGTCCACGTCCATGTCCACGTCCACGTCCATGTCCACGTCCACGTCCACGTCCATGTCCACGTCCATGTCCACGTCCACGTCCACGTCCACCGCCATGTCCACGTCCACGTCCACGTCCATGTCCACGTCCATGTCCATGTCCATGTCCACGTCCACGTCCATGTCCACGTCCACGTCCATGTCCACGTCCATGTCCACGTCCATGTCCACGTCCATGTCCACGTCCATGTCCACGTCCACGTCCACGTCCACGTCCACGTCCACGTCCATGTCCACGTCCATGTCCACGTCCACGTCCACGTCCATGTCCACGTCCACGTCCACGTCCATGTCCACGTCCATGTCCACGTCCATGTCCACGTCCATGTCCACGTCCATGTCCACGTCCATGTCCACGTCCATGTCCACGTCCATGTCCACGTCCATGTCCACGTCCATGTCCACGTCCATGTCCACGTCCATGTCCACGTCCATGTCCACGTCCATGTCCACGTCCATGTCCACGTCCACGTCCACGTCCATGTCCATGTCCATGTCCATGTCCATGTCCACGTCCACGTCCACGTCCACGTCCATGTCCACGTCCACGTCCACGTCCACGTCCATGTCCACGTCCACGTCCACGTCCATGTCCACGTCCACGTCCACGTCCATGTCCACGTCCATGTCCACGTCCATGTCCACGTCCATGTCCACGTCCATGTCCACGTCCATGTCCACGTCCATGTCCACGTCCATGTCCACGTCCATGTCCACGTCCATGTCCACGTCCATGTCCACGTCCATGTCCACGTCCATGTCCACGTCCACGTCCACGTCCATGTCCATGTCCACGTCCATGTCCATGTCCACGTCCATGTCCATGTCCATGTCCACGTCCATGTCCACGTCCATGTCCACGTCCATGTCCACGTCCACGTCCACGTCCATGTCCACGTCCACGTCCACGTCCATGTCCATGTCCACGTCCATGTCCACGTCCATGTCCACGTCCATGTCCACGTCCACAACCATGTCCACGTCCACGTCCACGTCCACGTCCACCTCCATGTCCACGTCCACGTCCACGTCCATGTCCACGTCCATGTCCATGTCCATGTCCATGTCCACGTCCATGTCCACGTCCATGTCCACGTCCATGTCCACGTCCATGTCCACGTCCATGTCCACGTCCATGTCCACGTCCATGTCCACGTCCATGTCCACGTCCATGTCCACGTCCACGTCCACGTCCATGTCCACGTCCACGTCCATGTCCACGTCCATGTCCACGTCCACGACCATGTCCACGTCCACGTCCACGTCCACCGTCCATGTCCACGTCCACGTCCACGTCCATGTCCACGTCCATGTCCATGTCCACGTCCATGTCCACGTCCATGTCCACGTCCATGTCCACGTCCACGTCCATGTCCACGTCCACGTCCACGTCCATGTCCACGTCCATGTCCACGTCCACGTCCACGTCCACCGCCATGTCCACGTCCACGTCCACGTCCATGTCCACGTCCATGTCCACGTCCATGTCCACGTCCATGTCCACGTCCATGTCCACGTCCATGTCCACGTCCATGTCCACGTCCATGTCCACGTCCATGTCCACGTCCATGTCCACGTCCATTTCCACGTCCATGTCCACGTCCATGTCCACGTCCATGTCCACGTCCATGTCCACGTCCATGTCCACGTCCATGTCCACGTCCATGTCCACGTCCATGTCCACGTCCATCTCCACGTCCATGTCCACGTCCACGTCCACGTCCACGTCCACGTCCACGTCCACGTCCACGTCCACATCCATGTCCACGTCCATGTCCACGTCCATGTCCACGTCCATGTCCACGTCCATGTCCACGTCCATGTCCACGTTCACGTCCACGTCCACGTCCATGTCCACGAAATGTCCATGTCCATGTCCACGTCCACGTCCACGTCCATGTCCATGTCCACGTCCACGTCCATGTCCACGTCCACGTCCATGTCCACGTCCACGTCCACGTCCATGTCCACGTCCATGTCCACGTCCACGTCCACGTCCATGTCCATGTCCACGTCCACGTCCACGTCCATGTCCACGTCCACGTCCACGTCCATGTCCACGTCCACGTCCACGTCCACGTCCATGTCCACGTCCACGTCCATGTCCACGTCCATGTCCACGTCCACGTCCACGTCCACGTCCACGTCCATGTCCACGTCCATGTCCACGTCCATGTCCACGTCCATGTCCACGTCCATGTCCACGTCCATGTCCACGTCCATGTCCACGTCCATGTCCACGTCCATGTCCACGTCCATGTCCACGTCCATGTCCACGTCCATGTCCACGTCCATGTCCACGTCCACGTCCACGTCCATGTCCACGTCCATGTCCACGTCCATGTCCACGTCCATGTCCACGTCCATGTCCACGTCCATGTCCACGTCCACGTCCACGTCCACGTCCATGTCCACGTCCATGTCCACGTCCATGTCCACGTCCATGTCCACGTCCATGTCCACGTCCACGTCCACGTCCACGTCCATGTCCACGTCCATGTCCACGTCCATGTCCACGTCCACATCCACGTCCATGTCCATGTCCATGTCCACGTCCATGTCCACGTCCACGTCCACGTCCATGTCCACGTCCACGTCCATGTCCACGTCCATGTCCACATCCACGTCCACGTCCATGTCCACGTCCACGTCCACGTCCATGTCCACGTCCATGTCCACGTCCATGTCCACGTCCATGTCCACGTCCATGTCCACGTCCACGTCCACGTCCACGTCCACGTCCATGTCCACGTCCATGTCCACGTCCATGTCCACGTCCACGTCCACGTCCACGTCCACGTCCATGTCCACGTCCATGTCCACGTCCATGTCCACGTCCATGTCCACGTCCATGTCCACGTCCATGTCCACGTCCATGTCCACGTCCATGTCCACGTCCATGTCCACGTCCACGTCCATGTCCACGTCCACGTCCACGTCCATGTCCACGTCCACGTCCACGTCCACGTCCATGTCCACGTCCACGTCCACGTCCACGTCCATGTCCACGTCCATGTCCACGTCCATGTCCACGTCCATGTCCACGTCCACGTCCACGTCCATGTCCACGTCCACGTCCACGTCCATGTCCACGTCCATGTCCACGTCCACGTCCATGTCCACGTCCACGTCCATGTCCACGTCCACGTCCACGTCCATGTCCACGTCCATGTCCACGTCCACGTCCACGTCCATGTCCATGTCCACGTCCACGTCCACGTCCATGTCCACGTCCACGTCCACGTCCATGTCCACATCCACGTCCACGTCCACGTCCATGTCCACGTCCATGTCCATGTCCATGTCCATGTCCATGTCCATGTCCACGTCCATGTCCACGTCCATGTCCACGTCCATGTCCACGTCCACGTCCACGTCCATGTCCACGTCCACGTCCACGTCCATGTCCACGTCCATGTCCACGTCCATGTCCACGTCCATGTCCACGTCCACAACCATGTCCACGTCCACGTCCACGTCCACGTCCACCTCCATGTCCACGTCCACGTCCACGTCCACGTCCATGTCCACGTCCATGTCCATGTCCACGTCCATGTCCACGTCCATGTCCACGTCCATGTCCACGTCCACGTCCATGTCCACGTCCACGTCCACGTCCATGTCCACGTCCACGTCCACGTCCATGTCCATGTCCATGTCCACGTCCACATCCATGTCCACGTCCACGTCCACGTCCACGTCCACGTCCATGTCCACGTCCATGTCCACGTCCATGTCCACGTCCATGTCCACGTCCATGTCCACGTCCATGTCCACGTCCATGTCCACGTCCATGTCCACGTCCATGTCCACGTCCATGTCCACGTCCATGTCCACGTCCATGTCCACGTCCATGTCCATGTCCACGTCCATGTCCACGTCCATGTCCACGTCCATGTCCACGTCCATGTCCACGTCCATGTCCACGTCCATGTCCACGTCCATCTCCACGTCCACGTCCACGTCCACGTCCATGTCCACGTCCACGTCCACGTCCATGTCCACGTCCATGTCCACGTCCATGTCCACGTCCATGTCCACGTCCATGTCCACGTCCATGTCCACGTCCATGTCCACGTCCACGTCCACGTCCACGTCCATGTCCACGTCCATGTCCATGTCCACGTCCATGTCCACGTCCATGTCCACGTCCATGTCCACGTCCATGTCCACGTTCACGTCCACGTCCACGTCCATGTCCACGTCCATGTCCACGTCCATGTCCACGTCCACGTCCATGTCCACGTCCATGTCCACGTCCACGACCATGTCCACGTCCACGTCCACGACCACCTCTATGTCCACGTCCTCGTCCACGTCCATGTCCACGTCCATGTCCATGTCCACGTCCATGTCCACGTCCATGTCCACGTCCATGTCCACGTCCACGTCCATGTCCACGTCCACGTCCACGTCCATGTCCACGTCCACGTCCACGTCCATGTCCACGTCCACGTCCATGTCCACGTCCACGTCCACGTCCACGTCCACGTCCACGTCCATGTCCACGTCCACGTCCACGTCCATGTCCACGTCCACGTCCACGTCCATGTCCACGTCCATGTCCACGTCCATGTCCACGTCCATGTCCACGTCCATGTCCACGTCCATGTCCACGTCCATGTCCACGTCCATGTCCACGTCCATGTCCACGTCCATGTCCACGTCCATGTCCACGTCCATGTCCACGTCCACGTCCACGTCCACGTCCATGTCCACGTCCATGTCCATGTCCACGTCCATGTCCATGTCCATGTCCACGTCCATGTCCACGTCACGTCCACGTCCACGTCCATGTCCACGTCCATGTCCACGTCCATGTCCACGTCCACGTCCATGTCCACGTCCATGTCCACGTCCACGTCCATGTCCACGTCCATGTCCACGTCCACGTCCACGTCCATGTCCATGTCCACATCCACGTCCATGTCCATGTCCACGTCCATGTCCACGTCCATGTCCATGTCCACGTCCATGTCCATGTCCATGACCATGTCCACGTCCATGTCCACGTCCACGTCCATGTCCACGTCCATGTCCACGTCCATGTCCACGTCCATGTCCACGTCCACGTCCATGTCCACGTCCACGTCCACGTCCATGTCCACGTCCATGTCCACGTCCACGTCCATGTCCACGTCCACGTCCATGTCCACGTCCACGTCCACGTCCATGTCCACGTCCATGTCCACGTCCACGTCCACGTCCATGTCCATGTCCACGTCCACGTCCACGTCCATGTCCACGTCCACGTCCACGTCCATGTCCACGTCCACGTCCACGTCCATGTCCACGTCCATGTCCATGTCCACGTCCATGTCCATGTCCATGTCCACGTCCATGTCCACGTCCATGTCCACGTCCATGTCCACGTCCACGTCCACGTCCATGTCCATGTCCACGTCCATGTCCACGTCCATGTCCACGTCCATGTCCACGTCCACGTCCATGTCCACGTCCACGTCCACGTCCACGTCCACCTCCATGTCCACGTCCACGTCCACGTCCACGTCCATGTCCATGTCCACGTCCATGTCCACGTCCATGTCCACGTCCATGTCCACGTCCACGTCCATGTCCACGTCCACGTCCACGTCCACGTCCACGTCCATGTCCATGTCCATGTCCATGTCCACGTCCACGTCCACGTCCACGTCCACGTCCATGTCCACGTCCATGTCCACGTCCACGTCCACGTCCACGTCCATGTCCACGTCCATGTCCACGTCCATGTCCACGTCCATGTCCACGTCCATGTCCACGTCCATGTCCACGTCCATGTCCACGTCCATGTCCACGTCCATGTCCACGTCCATGTCCACGTCCATGTCCACGTCCATGTCCACGTCCATGTCCACGTCCATGTCCACGTCCATGTCCACGTCCATGTCCACGTCCATGTCCACGTCCATGTCCACGTCCATGTCCACGTCCACGTCCATGTCCACGTCCATGTCCACGTCCACGTCCACGTCCATGTCCACGTCCATGTCCACGTCCATGTCCACGTCCATGTCCACGTCCATGTCCACGTCCACGTCCACGTCCACGTCCATGTCCACGTCCATGTCCATGTCCACGTCCATGTCCACGTCCATGTCCACGTCCATGTCCACGTCCATGTCCACGTTCACGTCCACGTCCACGTCCATGTCCACGTCCATGTCCATGTCCATGTCCACGTCCACGTCCATGTCCACGTCCATGTCCACGTCCACGACCATGTCCACGTCCACGTCCACGACCACCTCCATGTCCACGTCCACGTCCACGTCCATGTCCACGTCCATGTCCATGTCCACGTCCATGTCCACGTCCATGTCCACGTCCATGTCCACGTCCACGTCCATGTCCACGTCCACGTCCACGTCCATGTCCACGTCCACGTCCACGTCCATGTCCACGTCCACGTCCATGTCCACGTCCACGTCCACGTCCACGTCCACGTCCACGTCCATGTCCACGTCCACGTCCACGTCCATGTCCACGTCCACGTCCACGTCCATGTCCACGTCCATGTCCACGTCCATGTCCACGTCCATGTCCACGTCCATGTCCACGTCCATGTCCACGTCCATGTCCACGTCCATGTCCACGTCCATGTCCACGTCCATGTCCACGTCCACGTCCACGTCCATGTCCACGTCCATGTCCATGTCCACGTCCACGTCCATGTCCACGTCCATGTCCACGTCCATGTCCACGTCCACGTCCATGTCCACGTCCACGTCCACGTCCATGTCCACGTCCACGTCCACGTCCATGTCCACGTCCACGTCCACGTCCACGTCCATGTCCACGTCCATGTCCACGTCCATGTCCACGTCCATGTCCACGTCCATGTCCACGTCCATGTCCACGTCCATGTCCACGTCCATGTCCACGTCCATGTCCACGTCCATGTCCACGTCCATGTCCACGTCCACGTCCATGTCCACGTCCACGTCCACGTCCACGTCCATGTCCACGTCCATGTCCACGTCCATGTCCACGTCCATGTCCACGTCCATGTCCACGTCCATGTCCACGTCCATGTCCACGTCCACGTCCACGTCCACGTCCATGTCCACGTCCATGTCCACGTCCACGTCCATGTCCACGTCCATGTCCACGTCCATGTCCACGTTCACGTCCACGTCCACGTCCACGTCCATGTCCACGTCCATGTCCACGTCCATGTCCACGTCCACGACCATGTCCACGTCCATGTCCACGTCCACGTCCATGTCCACATCCACGTCCACGTCCACGTCCATGTCCACGTCCACGTCCACGTCCACGTCCATGTCCACGTCCATGTCCATGTCCACGTCCATGTCCACGTCCACCTCCATGTCCACGTCCACATCCACGTCCACGTCCACGTCCATGTCCACGTCCACGTCCACGTCCACGTCCATGTCCACGTCCACGTCCACGTCCACGTCCACGTCCACGTCCATGTCCACGTCCATGTCCACGTCCATGTCCACGTCCATGTCCACGTCCATGTCCACGTCCATGTCCACGTCCATGTCCACGTCCATGTCCACGTCCATGTCCACGTCCATGTCCACGTCCATGTCCACGTCCATGTCCACGTCCATGTCCACGTCCATGTCCACGTCCACGTCCACGTCCATGTCCATGTCCACGTCCACGTCCATGTCCATGCCATGTCCACGTCCACGTCCATGTCCACGTCCACGTCCACGTCCATGTCCACGTCCACGTCCACGTCCATGTCCACGTCCATGTCCACGTCCACGTCCATGTCCACGTCCACGTCCACGTCCACTTCCACGTCCATGTCCACGTCCACGTCCATGTCCACGTCCATGTCCACGTCCATGTCCACGTCCATGTCCATGTCCATGTCCATGTCCACGTCCATGTCCACGTCCATGTCCATGTCCACGTCCACGTCCACGTCCACGTCCATGTCCATGTCCATGTCCACGTCCATGTCCATGTCCACGTCCATGTCCATGTCCATGTCCACGTCCACGTCCATGTCCACGTCCACGTCCACGTCCATGTCCACGTCCATGTCCACGTCCATGTCCACGTCCATGTCCACGTCCACGTCCACGTCCATGTCCACGTCCATGTCCACGTCCATGTCCACGTCCATGTCCACGTCCATGTCCACGTCCATGTCCACGTCCATGTCCACGTCCATGTCCACGTCCATGTCCACGTCCATGTCCACGTCCATGTCCATGTCCATGTCCACGTCCATGTCCACGTCCATGTCCACGTCCACGTCCACGTCCACGTCCATGTCCACGTCCATGTCCATGTCCACGTCCACGTCCATGTCCACGTCCACGTCCATGTCCACGTCCATGTCCACGTTCACGTCCATGTCCACGTCCATGTCCACGTCCATGTCCACGTCCATGTCCACGTCCACGTCCATGTCCACGTCCATGTCCACGTCCACGTCCATGTCCACGTCCACGTCCACGTCCATGTCCACGTCCATGTCCATGTCCACGTCCATGTCCACGTCCATGTCCACGTCCACGTCCACGTCCACGTCCATGTCCACGTCCATGTCCACGTCCATGTCCATGTCCATGTCCACGTCCACGTCCACGTCCATGTCCACGTCCATGTCCACGTCCATGTCCACGTCCATGTCCACGTCCATGTCCACGTCCATGTCCACGTCCATGTCCACGTCCACGTCCACGTCCATGTCCACGTCCATGTCCATGTCCACGTCCATGTCCACGTCCATGTCCACGTCCATGTCCACGTTCACGTCCACGTCCATGTCCATGTCCACGACCATGTCCACGTCCATGTCCACGTCCACGACCATGTCCACGTCCATGTCCACGTCCACGACCATGTCCACGTCCACGACCACGACCACCTCTATGTCCACGTCCACGTCCATGTCCACGTCCATGTCCATGTCCATGTCCATGTCCACGTCCATGTCCACGTCCATGTCCACGTCCATGTCCATGTCCACGTCCACGTCCACGTCCATGTCCATGTCCACGTCCACGTCCATGTCCACGTCCATGTCCACGTCCATGTCCATGTCCACGTCCATGTCCACGTCCACGTCCACGTCCATGTCCACGTCCATGTCCACGTCCATGTCCACGTCCATGTCCACGTCCATGTCCACGTCCATGTCCACGTCCATGTCCACGTCCATGTCCACGTCCATGTCCATGTCCATGTCCACGTCCATGTCCACGTCCATGTCCACGTCCACGTCCACGTCCACGTCCATGTCCACGTCCATGTCCACGTCCATGTCCACGTCCATGTCCACGTCCACGTCCACGTCCACGTCCACGTCCATGTCCACGTCCACGTCCACGTCCAGGTCCACGTCCACGTCCACGTCCACGTCCACGTCCATGTCCACGTCCATGTCCACGTCCATGTCCACGTCCATGTCCACGTCCATGTCCACGTCCATGTCCACGTCCATGTCCACGTCCATGTCCACGTCCATGTCCACGTCCATGTCCACGTCCATGTCCACGTCCATGTCCACGTCCATGTCCACGTCCATGTCCACGTCCACGTCCACGTCCACGTCCATGTCCACGTCCATGTCCACGTCCATGTCCATGTCCACGTCCACGTCCATGTCCACGTCCATGTCCACGTCCATGTCCACGTCCACGTCCACGTCCACGTCCACGTCCATGTCCACGTCCACGTCCACGTCCAGGTCCACGTCCACGTCCACGTCCACGTCCACGTCCATGTCCACGTCCATGTCCACGTCCATGTCCACGTCCATGTCCACGTCCATGTCCACGTCCATGTCCACGTCCATGTCCACGTCCATGTCCACGTCCATGTCCACGTCCATGTCCACGTCCATGTCCACGTCCATGTCCACGTCCACGTCCACGTCCACGTCCATGTCCACGTCCATGTCCACGTCCATGTCCACGTCCATGTCCACGTCCATGTCCACGTCCATGTCCACGTCCATGTCCACGTCCATGTCCACGTCCATGTCCAAGTCCACGTCCACGTCCACGTCCATGTCCACGTCCATGTCCACGTCCACGTCCATGTCCACGTCCATGTCCACGTCCATGTCCAGGTTCACGTCCACGTCCACGTCCATGTCCACGACCATGTCCACGTCCATGTCCACGTCCACGACCATGTCCACGTCCATGTCCACGTCCACGACCATGTCCACATCCACGACCACGACCACCTCTATGTCCACGTCCACGTCCACATCCACGTCCATGTCCACGTCCATGTCCATGTCCACGTCCATGTCCACGTCCATGTCCACGTCCATGTCCACGTCCATGTCCACGTCCACGTCCACGTCCATGTCCACGTCCACGTCCATGTCCACGTCCATGTCCACGTCCACGTCCATGTCCACGTCCACGTCCACGTCCACGTCCACGTCCACGTCCATGTCCACGTCCATGTCCATGTCCACGTCCATGTCCACGTCCATGTCCACGTCCATGTCCATGTCCACGTCCATGTCCACGTCCATATCCATGTCCACGTCCACGTCCACGTCCACGTCCACGTCCATATCCATGTCCATGTCCACGTCCATGTCCATGTCCATGTCCACGTCCATGTCCATGTCCACGTCCATGTCCATGTCCATGTCCACGTCCATGTCCACGTCCACGTCCACGTCCATGTCCACGTCCATGTCCACGTCCATGTCCACGTCCACGTCCATGTCCACGTCCACGTCCACGTCCATGTCCACGTCCCTGTCCACGTCCATGTCCACGTCCATGTCCACGTCCATGTCCACGTCCATGTCCACGTCCATGTCCACGTCCATGTCCACGTCCATGTCCACGTCCATGTCCACGTCCATGTCCACGTCCATGTCCACGTCCATGTCCACGTCCCTGTCCACGTCCACGTCCACGTCCACGTCCACGTCCATGTCCACGTCCACATCCACGTCCATGTCCACGCCATGTCCACGTCCACGTCCACGTCCACGTCCATGTCCACGTCCATGTCCACGTCCATGTCCACGTTCACGTCCACGTCCACGTCCATGTCCACGTCCATGTCCACGTCCATGTCCACGTCCACGTCCATGTCCACGTCCATGTCCACGTCCATGTCCACGTCCATGTCCACGTCCATGTCCACGTCCATGTCCACGTCCATGTCCACGTCCATGTCCACGTCCATGTCCACGTCCATGTCCACGTCCATGTCCACGTCCATGTCCACGTCCACGTCCACGTCCACGTCCATGTCCACGTCCATGTCCACGTCCATGTCCACGTCCATGTCCACGTCCATGTCCACGTCCATGTCCACGTCCATGTCCACGTCCATGTCCAAGTCCACGTCCACGTCCACGTCCATGTCCACGTCCATGTCCACGTCCACGTCCACGTCCACGTCCATGTCCACGTCCATGTCCATGTTCACGTCCACGTCCACGTCCATGTCCACGACCATGTCCACGTCCATGTCCACGTCCACGACCATGTCCACGTCCATGTCCACGTCCACGACCATGTCCACATCCACGACCACGACCACCTCTATGTCCACGTCCACGTCCACGTCCACGTCCATGTCCACGTCCATGTCCATGTCCACGTCCATGTCCACGTCCATGTCCACGTCCATGTCCACGTCCACGTCCATGTCCACGTCCACGTCCACGTCCATGTCCACGTCCACGTCCACGTCCATGTCCACGTCCATGTCCACGTCCACGTCCATGTCCACGTCCACGTCCACGTCCATGTCCACGTCCACGTCCATGTCCACGTCCATGTCCACGTCCATGTCCACGTCCATATCCATGTCCATGTCCATGTCCATGTCCATGTCCACGTCCATGTCCATGTCCACGTCCACGTCCACGTCCACGTCCACGTCCACGTCCATGTCCATGTCCATGTCCACGTCCATGTCCACGTCCATGTCCACGTCCATGTCCATGTCCACGTCCATGTCCATGTCCATGTCCACGTCCACGTCCATGTCCACGTCCACGTCCACGTCCATGTCCACGTCCATGTCCACGTCCATGTCCACGTCCACGTCCATGTCCACGTCCACGTCCACGTCCATGTCCACGTCCATGTCCACGTCCATGTCCACGTCCATGTCCACGTCCATGTCCACGTCCATGTCCACGTCCATGTCCACGTCCATGTCCACGTCCATGTCCACGTCCATGTCCATGTCCATGTCCATGTCCACGTCCACGTCCACGTCCATGTCCACGTCCATGTCCACGTCCATGTCCACGTCCACGTCCATGTCCACGTCCACGTCCACGTCCACCTCCATGTCCACGTCCACGTCCATGTCCACGTCCACGTCCACGTCCACGTCCACGTCCATGTCCACGTCCATGTCCACGTCCACGTCCACGTCCACGTCCACGTCCATGTCCACGTCCATGTCCACGTCCATGTCCACGTCCATGTCCACGTCCATGTCCACGTCCATGTCCACGTCCATGTCCACGTCCATGTCCACGTCCATGTCCACGTCCATGTCCATGTCCATGTCCATGTCCACGTCCATGTCCACGTCCATATCCATGTCCACGTCCACGTCCACGTCCACGTCCACGTCCATGTCCACGTCCATGTCCACGTCCATGTCCATGTCCACGTCCACGTCCATGTCCACGTCCATGTCCACGTCTACGTCCATGTCCACGTCCATGTCCACGTCCATGTCGACGTTCACGTCCACGTCCACGTCCATGTCCACGACCATGTCCACGTCCATGTCCACGTCCACGACCATGTCCACGTCCATGTCCACGTCCACGACCATGTCCACGTCCACGACCACGACCACCTCTATGTCCACGTCCACGTCCACTTCCATGTCCACGTCCATGTCCATGTCCACGTCCATGTCCACGTCCATGTCCACGTCCATGTCCACGTTTACGTCCATGTCCACGTCCACGTCCACGTCCATGTCCACGTACCACGTCCACGTCCATGTTCCACGTCCACGTCCATGTCCACGTCCATGTCCACGTCCACGTCCATGTCCATGTCCACGTCCACGTCCATGTCCACGTCCATGTCCACGTCCATCTCCACGTCCATATCCATGTCCATGTCCATGTCCACGTCCATGTCCACGTCCATATCCATGTCCACGTCCACGTCCACGTCCATGTCCACGTCCATGTCCATGTCCACGTCCATGTCCACGTCCATCTCCACGTCCATGTCCACGTTCACGTCCACGTCTACGTCTATGTCCAAGACCATGTCCACGTTCACGTCCATGTCCACGTCCATGTCCACGTTCACATCCACGTCCACGTCTATGTCCACGTCCATGTCCACGTCCACGACCAAGTCCACGTCCATGTCCAAGTCCACGACCATGTCCACGTCCACGACCACGACCACATCTATGTCCACGTCCACGTCGACGTCCACGTCAATGTCCACGTCCATGTCCACGTCCATGTCCACTTCATGTCCACGTCCATGTCCACGTCCACGTCCACGTCTACGTCCATGTCAACGTCCATGTCCACGTCCATGTCCACGTCCATGTCCACGTCCATGTCCACGGTCCATGTCCACGTCCATGTCCAGGTCTACGTCCACGTCCATGTCCACTGTCCATGTCCATGTCCACCGTCCATTCCACGTACATGTCCACGTCCATAGTCCACGTTCACGTCAACGTCGGTCATGTCCATGCCGACATGTCCACGTCATGTCCAAGTCCACGACCATGTCGACGTCCATGTCCACGTCCACGACCATGTCCACGTCCACGACCATGACCACCTCTATGTCCACGTCCACGTCCATGTCCACGTCCATGTCCACGTCCATAGTCCATGTCCACGTCCATGTCCACGTCCATGTCTACGTCCATGTCCATGTCCACGTCCACGTCCACGTCCATGTCCACGTCCACGTCTATGTCCACGACCATGTCCACGTCCATGTCCACGTCCACGTCCACGTCCACGTCCATGTCCACGTCCATGTCCATGTCCATGTCCATGTCCACGTTCATGTCCACGTCCATGTCCACGTCCACGTCCATGTCCACGTCCACGTCCACGTCCATGTCCACGTCAACGTCCATGTCTACGTCCATGTCCACGTCCATGTCCACGTCCATATACATGTCCATGTCCATGTCCACGTCCATGTCCACGTCCATATCCATGTCCACGTCCACGTCCACGTCCACGTCCATATCCATGTCCATGTCCACGTCCATGTCCACGTCCATGTCCACGTCCATGTCCATGTCCACGTCCATGTCCATGTCCATGTCCACGTCCACGTCCATGTCCACGTCCACGTCCACGTCCATGTCCACGTCCATGTCCACGTCCACGTCCATGTCCACGTCCACGTCCACGTCCATGTCCACGTCCATGTCCACGTCCATGTCCACGTCCATGTCCACGGTCCATGTCCACGTCCATGTCCACGTCCATGTCCACGTCCATGTCCATGTCCACGTCCATGTCCACGTCCATGTCCACTGTCCCGTGTCCACGTCCATGTCCACGTCCACGTCCACGTCCACGTCCATGTCCACGTTCATGTCCATGTCCACGTCCACGTCCATGTCCACGTCCATGTCCACGTCCACGTCCACGTCCACGTCCATGTCCACGTCCATGTCCACGTCCATGTCCACGTTCACGTCCACGTCCACGTCCATGTCCACGACCATGTCCACGTTCATGTCCACGTCCACGTCCATGTCCACGACCATGTCCACGACCATGTCCACGTTCACGTCCATGTCCACGTCCTTGTCCACGTTCACGTCCACGTCCACGTCTATGTCCACGTCCATGTCCACGTCCACGACCAAGTCCACGTCCATGTCCAAGTCCACGACCATGTCCACGTCCACGACCACGACCACATCTATGTCCACGTCCACGTCCACGTCTACGTCCACGTCCACGTCCATGTCCACGTCCATGTCCACGTCCATGTCCACTTCATGTCCACGTCCATGTCCACGGCCACGTCCACGTCCACGTCCATGTCAACGTCCATGTCCACGTCCATGTCCACGTCCATGTCCACGTCCATGTCCACGTCCATGTCCACGTCCATGTCCACGTCCACGTCCACGTCCATGTCCACGTCCATGTCCATGTCCACGTCCATGTCCACGTCCATGTCCACGTCCATGTCCAAGTTCACGTCCACGTCCATGTCCATGTCCACGACCATGTCCACGTCCATGTCCACGTCCACGACCATGTCCACGTCCATGTCCACGTCCACGACCATGTCCACGTCCACGACCACGACCACCTTTATGTCCACGTCCACGTCCATGTCCACGTCCATGTCCACGTCCATGTCCATGTCCACGTCCATGTCCACGTCCATGTCCACGTCCATGTCCATGTCCACGTCCACGTCCACGTCCATGTCCACGTCCACGTCCACGTCCATGTCCACGTCCATGTCCATGTCCATGTCCATGTCCACGTCCATGTCCACGTCCATGTCCACGTCCACGTCCATGTCCACGTCCACGTCCACGTCCATGTCCACGTCCACGTCCATGTCCACGTCCACGTCCACGTCCATGTCCACATCCATGTCCACGTCCATGTCCACGTCCATATCCATGTCCATGTCCATGTCCACGTCCATGTCCACGTCCATGTCCATGTCCACGTCCACGTCCACGTCCACGTCCACGTCCCCCCACGTCCACGTCCTATCCATGTCCATGTCCACGTCCATGTCCACGTCCATGTCCATGTCCATGTCCATGTCCACGTTCATGTCCACGTCCATGTCCACGTCCACGTCCATGTCCACGTCCACGTCCACGTCCATGTCCACGTCCACGTCCATGTCCACGTCCACGTCCACGTCCATGTCCACGTCCATGTCCACGTCCATGTCCACGTCCATATACATGTCCATGTCCATGTCCACGTCCATGTCCACGTCCATGTCCATGTCCATGTCCACGTCCGTGTCCACGTCCCTGTCCACGTCCACGTCCACGTCCACGTCCACATTCCACGTCCACGGTCCACGTCCATGTCCACGTCCATGTCCATGTCCACGTCCACGTCCATGTCCACGTCCATGTCCACGTCCACGTCCACGTCCACGTCCATGGTCCACGTCCATGTCCACGTCCATGTCCACGTTCATGTCCACATCCATGTCCACGACATGTCCACGCCATGTCCACGTCCACGGTCCATGTCCACGTCCATGTCCACGTCCATAGTCCATGGTCCACGTCCATGTCCACGTCCATGTCCACGTCCATGTCCACGTCCATGTCCACGTCCATGTCCACGTCCATGTCCACGTCCACGTCCACGTCCACGTCCATTGTCCACGTCCATGTCCACGTACACGTCCATGTCCACGTCCATGTCCACGTCCATGTCCACGTTCACGTCCACGTCCACGTCCATGTCCACGACCATGTCCACGTCCATGTCCACGTCCACGACCATGTCCACGACCATGTCCACGTCCACGACCATGTCCACATCCACGACCACGACCACGTCCACGTCCACGTCCACGTCCACGTCCATGTCCACGTCCATGTCCATGTCCACGTCCATGTCCACGTCCATGTCCACGTCCATGTCCACGTCCACGGTCCACGTCCATGTCCACGTCCATGTCCACGTCCACGTCCATGTCCACGTCCACGTCCACGGTCAGTCCATGTCCACGTCCATGTCCACGTCCATGTCCACGTCCATATCCATGTCCATGTCCATGTCCACGTTCATGTCCACGTCCATATCCATGTCTACGTCCACGTCCACGTCCACGTCCACGTCCATATCCATGTCCATGTCCACGTCCATGTCCACGTCCATGTCCACGTCCTTGTCTATGTCCACGTCCATGTCCATCTCCATGTCCACGTCCACGTCCACGTCCACGTCCATGTCCACGTCCATGTCCATGTCCACGTCCATGTCCACGTCCATGTCCACGTCCATGTCCACGTCCACGTCCATGTCCACGTCCACGTCCACGTCCATGTCCACGTCCACGTCCACGTCCATGTCCACGTCCATGTCCACGTCCACGTCCATGTCCACGTCCACGTCCACGTCCACGTCCACGTCCATGTCCACGTCGACGTCCATGTCCACGTCCATGTCCACGTCCATGTCCACGTCCATATCCATGTCCATGTCCATGTCCACGTTCATGTCCACGTCCATATCCATGTCTACGTCCACGTCCACGTCCACGTCCACGTCCATATCCATGTCCATGTCCACGTCCATGTCCACGTCCATGTCCACGTCCTTGTCTATGTCCACGTCCATGTCCATGTCCATGTCCACGTCCACGTCCATGTCCACGTCCACGTCCACGTCCATGTCCACGTCCATGTCCACGTCCATGTCCACGTCCACGTCCATGTCCATTTCCACGTCCACGTCCATGTCCATGTCCACGTCCATGTCCACGTCCATGTCCACGTCCATGTCCACGTCCATGTCCACGTCCATGTCCACGTCCATGTCCACGTCCATGTCCACGTTTATGTCCACGTCCATGTCCACATCCATGTCCACGTCCATGTCCACGTCCACGTCCACGTCCACGTCCATGTCCACGTCCATGTCCACGTCCACGTCTACGTCCATGTCCACGTCCATGTCCACGTCCGTGTCACGTCACGTCCACGTCCACGTCCACGTCCACATGTCCACGTCCATGTCCACGCCACGTCCAGTCACGTCCACGTCCACGTCCATGTCCACGTCCACGTCCACGTCCATGTCCACGTCCATGTCCACGTTCCACGTCCATGTCCCACGTCCATGTCCACGTTCAGCAGTCCACGTCCACGTCCATGTGCACGACCATGTCCACGTCCATGTCCACGTCCACGACCATGTCCACGTCCATGTCCACGTCAACGACCATGTCCACATCCACGACCACGACCACCTCTATGTCCACGTCCACGTCCACGTCCATGTCCACGTCCATGTCCATGTCCATGTCTATGTCCACGTCCATGTCCACGTCCATGTCCACGTCTACGTCCATGTCCACGTCCACGTCCACGTCCATGTCCACGTCCACGTCCACGTCCATATCCACGTCCACGTCCACGTCCATTTCCACGTCCATGTCCACGTCCACGTCCATGTCCACGTCCACGTCCACGTCCACGTCCATGTCCACGTCCACGTCCATGTCCACGTCCATGTCCACGTCCATGTCCACGTCCATATCCATGTCCATGTCCATGTCCACGTCCATGTCCACGTCCATATCCATGTCCACGTCCACGTCCACGTCCACGTCCATGTCCAGGTCCATGTCCATGTCCACGTCCATGTCCACGTCCATGTCCACGTCCATGTCCATGTTCACGTCCACGTCCACGTCTATGTCCACGACCATGTCCACGTCCATGTCCACGTCCACGACCATGTCCACGTCCATGTCCAAGTCCACGACCATGTCCACGTCCACGACCACGACCACATCTATGTCCACGTCCACGTCCACGTCCACGTCCATGTCCTCGTCCATGTTCACGTCCATGTCCACGTCATGTCCACGTCCATGTCCACGTCCACGTCCACGTCCATGTCAACGTCCATGTCCACGTCCATGTCCACGTCCATGTCCACGTCCATGTCCACGTTCATGTCCACGTCCATGTCCACGTCCACGTCCACGTCCATGTCCACGTCCATGTCCATGTCCACGTCCATGTCCACGTCCATGTCCACGTCCATGTCCACGTTCACGTCCACGTCCATGTCCATGTCCACGACCATGTCCACGTCCATGGCCACGTCCACGACCATGTCGACGTCCATGTCCACGTCCACGACCATGTCCACGTCCACGACCACGACCACCTCTATGTCCACGTCCACGTCCATGTCCACGTCCATGTCCACGTCCATGTCCATGTCCACGTCCATGTCCACGTCCATGTCCACGTCCATGTCCATGTCCACGTCCACGTCCACGTCCATGTCCACGTCCACGTCTATGTCCACGACCATGTCCACGTCCATGTCCATGTCCACGACCATGTCCACGTCCATGTCCAAGTCCACGACCATGTCCACGTCCACGACCACGACCACATCCATGTCCATGACCACGACCACCTCTATGTCCACGTCCACGTCCATGTCCACGTCCATGTCCACGTCCATGTCCATGTCCACGTCCATGTCCACTTCCATGTCCACGTCCATGTCCATGTCCACGTCCACGTCCACGTCCATGTCAACATCCACGTCCATGTCCATGTCCACGTCCATGTCCACGTCCATGTTCACGTCCACGTCCATGTCCACGTCCACGTCTACGTCCATGTCCACGTCCATGTCCACGTCCATGTCCACGTCCATGTCCACGTCCATCTCCACGTCCATGTCCACGTCCATGTCCACTTCCATGTCCACGTCCATGTCCACGTCCATGTCCACGTCCATGTCCACGTCCACGTCCACGTCCATGTCCACGTCCACATCCACGTCCACGTCCATGTCCACGTCCATGTCCACGTCCACGTCCACGTCCATGTCCACGTCCACGTCCATGTCCACGTCCACGTCCACGTCCATGTCCACGTCCACGTCCACGTCCATTCCACGTCCACATCCATGTCCACGTCCACGTCCACGTCCACGTCCATGTCCACGTCCATGGTCCACGTCCATGTCCACGTCCATGTCCATGTCCATGTCCACGTCCATGTCCACGTCCATGTCCACGTCCATGTCCACGTCCATATCCACGTCCATGTCCACGTCCACGTCCACGTCCACGTCCATGTCAACGTCCATGTCCACGTCCATGTCCACGTCCATGTCCACGTCCATGTCCACGTCCATGTCCACGTCCATGTCCACGTCCACGTCCACGTCCACGTCCACGTCCATGTCCACGTCCATGTCCACGTCCACGTCCATGTCCACGTCCATGTCCACGTCCATGATCACGTTCACGTCCACGTCCACGTCCATGTTCACGACCATGTCCACGTCCATGTCCACGTCCACGACCATGTCCACGTCCATGTCAACGTCCACGACCATGTCCACATCCACGACCACGACCACCTCTATGTCCACGTCCACGTCCATGTCCACGTCCATGTCCAGGTCCACGTCCATGTCCACGTCCATGTCCACGTCCATGTCCACGTCCACGTCACGTCCGAGTCCACGTCCATGTCCACGTCCATGTCCACGTCCATGTCCACGTCCACGTCCACGTCCATGTCCACGTCCATGTCCACGTCCATGTCCACGTCCATGTCCAAGTCCATATCCATGTCCATGTCCACGTCCACGTCCACGTCCACGTCCATATCCATGTCCACGTCCACGTCCATATCCATGTCCACGTCCACGTCCATGTCCATGTCCATGTCCACGTCCACGTCCACGTCCACGTCCACGTCCATATCCATGTCCACGTCCACGTCCACGTCCATATCCAGGTCCATGTCCACGTCCATATCCATGTCCATGTCCACGTCCATGTCCACGTCCATGTCCACGTCCATGTCCTTGTCCATGTCCACGTCCATGTCCATGTCCACGTCCATGTCCATGTCCACGTCCACGTCCACGTCCATGTCCACGTCCACGTCCACGTCCATGTCCACGTCCATGTCCACGTCCATGTCCACGTCCACGTCCATGTCCATGTCCACGTCCACGTCTATGTCCACGTCCATGTCTACGTCCATGTCCACGTCCATGTCCACGTCCATGTCCACGTCCATGTCCACGTCCACGTCCACGTCCACGTCCATGTCCACGTCCAGGTCCACGTCCATGTCCACGTCCATGTCCACGTCCATGTCCACGTCCACGTCCATGTCCACGTCCACGTCCACGTCCATGTCCACGTCCACGTCCACCTCCATGTCCACGTCCACGTCCATGTCCACGTCCACGTCCACGTCCACGTCCACGTCCATGTCCACGTCCATGTCCACGTCCATGTCCACGTCCATGTCCACGTCCATGTCCACGTCCATGTCCACGTCCATGTCCACGTCCATGTCCACGTCCATGTCCACGTCCATCTCCATGTCCATGTCCATGTCCACGTCCATGTCCACGTCCATCTCCATGTCCACGTCCACGTCCACGTCCACGTCCACGTCCATGTCCACGTCCATGTCCACGTCCATGTCCACGTCCATGTCCACGTCTTTGTCCACGTCCACGTCCACGTCCATGTCCACGTCCATGTCCACGTCCATCTCCACGTCCACGTCCATGTCCACGTCCATGTCCACGTCCATGTCCACGTTCACGTCCACGTCCACGTTCATGTCCACGACCATGTCCACGTCCATGTCCACGTCCACGACCATGTCCACGTCCATGTCCACGTCCACGACCATGTCCACATCCACGACCACGACCACCTCTATGTCCACGTCCACGTCCACGTCCATGTCCACGTCCATGTCCATGTCCACGTCCATGTCCACGTCCATGTCCACGTCCATGTCCACGTCCACGTCCATGTCCACGTCCACGTCCACGTCCATGTCCACGTCCACGTCCACGTCCATGTCCACGTCCATGTCCACGTCCATGTCCACGTCCACGTCCATGTCCACGTCCACATCCATGTCCACGTCCATGTCCACGTCCATGTCCACGTCCATATCCATGTCCATGTCCATGTCCACGTCCATGTCCACGTCCATATCCATGTCCACGTCCACGTCCACGTCCACGTCCACGTCCATGTCACGTCCATGTCCATGTCCACGTCCATGTCCACGTCCATGTCCACGTCCATGTCCATGTTCACATCCACGTCCACGTCTATGTCCACGACCATGTCCACGTCCATGTCCACGTCCACGACCATGTCCACGTCCATGTCCACGTCCACGACCATGTCCACGTCCACGACCACGACCACATCTATGTCCACGTCCACGTCCACGTCCATGTCCACGTCCATGTCCACGTCCATGTCCACGTCCATGTCCACGTCCATGTCCACGTCCACGTCCACGTCCACGTCCATGTCAACGTCCATGTCCACGTCCATGTCCTTGCCATGTCCACGTCCATGTCCACGTCCACGTCCATGTCCACGTCCATGTCCATGTCCACGTCCATGTCCACGTCCATGTCCACGTCCATGTCCACGTTCACGTCCACGTCCATGTCCATGTCCACGACCATGTCCACGTCCATGTCCACGTCCACGACCATGTCGACGTCCATGTGCACGTCCACGACCATGTCCACGTCCACGACCACGACCACCTCTATATCCACGTCCACGTCCATGTCCACGTCCATGTCCACGTCCATGTCCATGTCTACGTCCATGTCCACGTCCATGTCTATGTCCACGTCCACGTCCATGTCCACGTCCACGTCCACGTCCATGTCCACGTCCATGTCCACGTCCATGTCCACGTCCACGTCCATGTCCACGTCCACGTCCACGTCCATGTCCACGTCCATGTCCACGTCCATGTCCACGTCCATGTCCACGTCCATGTCCACGTCCATGTCCACGTCCACGTCCATGTCCACGTCCACGTCCACGTCCATGTCCACGTCCATGTCCACGTCCATGTCCACGTCCATGTCCACGTCCATGTCCACGTACACGTCCATGTCCACGTCCATGTCCACGTCCATGTCCACGTTCACGTCCACGTCCACGTCCATGTCCACGACCATGTCCACGTCCATGTCCACGTCCACGACCATGTCCACGACCATGTCCACGTCCACGACCATGTCCACATCCACGACCACGA